AATTCAGTTTCCCCCCTTCCGAGCAAAGCGCGGAAGCTTTGATTTTTCATTAAATTATTAGAGAAAGAAGACGATTCGTTGGACTGTTTTCGACTATTAATCCTTATCTGAATTCAGTTTTCCCCTCCGCGAAGCGCAGAAACTTTGATTTTTCATTAAATTATTAGACAGAATGAAGACGATTCGTTGCACCGTTCTCTACTCTTAATCCTTGTCTGAATTCAGTTTGCCCCCTCCCATGCGAAGCGCTGAAGCTTTGACGCTTCACAAAATTATTACTCTTAATCCTTGTCTGAATTCAGTCTTCCCCCTCCCGCGCGACTCGCGGAAGGTTTGACGTTTTACAAAATTATTACTCTTAATCCTTGTCTGAATTAAGTTTCCCCCCCAAGTTCCCGCGCAAAGTTTCATTAAATTATAACTCTTAATCCTCGTTTAAATTAAGTTCCCCCCCCCCGCGCAAAGCGCGGAAGCTTCGACGTTTTATTAAATTATTAATCTTAATCCTTGTCTGAATTCAGTTTATCCCCTCCTGCGCGTAGCGCGGAAGCTTTAACCTTTTCATTCAATTATTAGAGAAAGAAGACGATTCGTTTTATTGTTTTCGACCCTTTAAAGGTAATACCAAGTTTTGGGAAATCTTGAAAATTGGGTGGATAGTGATTCTTTACAAATTTGATTTATTGGGATACCCCTGCGGATGTATTATAAGCACTAGAAGATTAAGCCCCTTAAACACTTCCGCTTTCGAGAAAAATAGCGCCTACGGTCGTACAATGGTAGCTGCGACAATGAAAATTTCAGAATATGTTGTTGTGATATATAATTTCCAAACGGGAATAGCTAATCGGTCGATTTTGGTCAAGAAACGTTTTTTTTATTGCTTAATTAATATCTTGACATTGAGAGGGAGCTATAAAACATAAACAGTCAATTATTTACAATTTCATAACTTCAGACTTAATTTCAACCGCGACAACGATCACTGAATATTGTAGGATCGCATATGCTTCCAATATGTTCATTTGAACCAAATTCATGACCCCGTACCAAAACTTTGCAATACCTTTAATCCTTGTCTGGATTCAGTTTCCCCTCTCAGCGCGGAAGCTTTGATGTTTCATTAAATTATAAGAGAGAAAGACGACGACTCCTTGTACTGTTTTCGACTATTAATCCTTGTCTGAATTAAGTTTCCCCCTTTCCGCGCGAAGCGCGGAAACTTTGACCTTTTCATTGAATTATTAGAGAAAGAAGACGATTGGAGTAAAGTTTTGGGTTAGGATTAGGGTTAGTGTTAGCAAATAAGATTGGAATTTTAATTTCTAAGATAAATCGTTGGTCAATATCTGGGCCCTTTAACAAAAAAACTACAATTATTGTATCTGTACAATAAATAGCAACATTTAAGTAATCTCATGTTACATAATAATGCATGGTAAGATATCATTATTGTAGCAAGACTAGAGATAGATTTTTGTTATTATTATTTTGATTTTATGTTGCAGTGCCCTGGACATATTGCAAAGAACAATTTTTTTCAAGTTGCTCAAGCTATAGAATTGCCATATTGTCACTGTTTTCCCCTCATTTGGCGAAATATTCCTCCTCGTTTTTAATTAGGCCTAATACAAGTTTCGTATGATAATATTCTCACTATCTTGTATGTTTGTTAGTAATTCTTGTTTATATGCGCTTTGAATCTAATGAACATGCGCTTTATAAATGTGATATTATTATTAATATTATAAGTTTCTGTGGCATAACTCGTCACATCCGTTTGAACAATCACCTTTATCTTACAACCATGCGATCGAGAAAGATCGCAAAACATCTTGGACTTACCTGCAAGCGTTTCTCTGCGGAATAAAACGCATAAGAAACAGCTGATGGCAACCTGAAATCTAACTGAAGGGGAAAAAGGCATGATTAATCCTCTCCCTCCTCTCAGCGACAGGAAAAAGGTTCCTTGTTCGATATTTCTCTTCCAGATTTGCCAGGTTTTTTTTCTTCAATAAAAGCTACGTTTGAAAGACTTTGAATTCAGCGGCGATGCATACTTTATCGCTTTCTCGAGCAGATCGATGATTCTTCACACAATTACGCATGCGACTCTCGAATTCATTTGGAATAGTAAAAGGTTGGTGAACGATAAATTGAATGTTCTTTCTCATCTATATAGTTGTAAGCCTGGAGGAGAATTAATTCTGATCTTCGCCGGTGAGCTAAACCTCTGAAAGGGAGATTTGAGTTGCAATGAAGACTTTATATCGGAATTATGGGTGTCGGTGTATAATGCGCATGCGCTGTTTGCAATTAGAAAAGAAAATGCGGTCCCTTGCGCCGTGACACCCCTCCCCCCACCACATTCTTTCAAAAGCACATGAACCAGTGTCAGAAGGAACACAATTATGGAATAAAGTCAATCTTTTCAAGTCGATACCTTGATATTGACGTGATTTTCACGTGAATTTTTTTATTAGGCTAGAACCGTAGAGCCCCCCCCCCCCGGAAGATAATCGCTGGCCTAGCATGCAACAGAATCGAAGCCCCTTTGTTTTCAATCTAAAAATATTAATTCTAATATTATTTGTCTTGGCCGGTCGCATGCTACGTCGCAAAAATAAATGTAATTTGTCAAAGTGTGTTGGTAAAATGCAATGAATGCTATCAATACGTATTGAATGTTGCGTTTCCGGCTGCCCCCCCCCCCCCCCAAGGAAAGGCAAGAAAATCGCTGACCTTGCATGCAACAGGAGCTCATCGTTTTCATTATTTTAACAAAATGTTCAATCTAACACCTGTGGTTCCTTCTAGATACTTTCAAATGTTGAATTCATTTCATTTGATGTGATTTGAGTTGATGTTAAGTTAGTTCCATATAGATGTACATCACTTTTATACACCATTTTGGTTAGATTTTTGTATCTGATTGACTTATTTACCAACAGCAAATAATTAAGTACCATTCATTTCATACAACGATATTTATAAGTACAAACAGAGAAAATATTAGTTGGTAAAAATTGGCCGGATAATAGCATATTATGTGCTATAGATGATCTACGCCTTACAGCTAAACAATGTACACGAATGTATTTTGTACAAATCACCTTCAGAAAACAAAACAACAACAAAAACAAAGAATTTAATTCATCATTACAATCAATCAATCACCATTACAATCAATACAACAAAAAATAGATAACTCTAACAATGTCTTACAAGATACAAACTGATAATATCAAATATAGTTTGTGTACATAATTATACAAAATATTTGTATGGATTTCCGATTTATGATTTTTTCAACAAAATGTGTTGTAACAGAATCTGACACTAATAGGTAATCAGTAACTAACCGCAAGAGACAACTTCTTGTGGAGTATATACACTCTAGAACACAGCAATCTATCAAAATATGAGGCAAATTTGTATTAAACGGATCGAACATGAAAGGAGTCGAGCTGTATGAGTTCTTCACTCTTTTTATGCAAAACAAAGCACGAACTGCCATTTTCTGTGAATACAATATGCTTATTGATAGGCTATAACCTTATATTGCTTTCCCCCACATGACGGTTTTATCTATGTTTTATATGATAATGGATAATGTCAAAATGCGCCTATAGGAACAAAATGTCGCGATCTAAAAAACACTCTAACTTTCATGATACACTGATTTGCATAACGATTATGACTATTCAATGACAGATTTTTTTATCATAAATTGCAACATCAACCTTTTTGATTTCCTCTCCAGCTATTTTCAATTTATACTGGGTAGTAATATTCCCAACAAAGATGCATGTGTTCTCTTTAATCAATGTTTGGTCAATTTGTTAGGCCCGAATTGTAATAATGTATATTTAAACCAGACGCTGGATTTAGACTTTTGTCCAAAAGGTTGGTTTAAAAAGAAAATTGGTCTGAGATCTGAGTTTTCTTTTCACATGATATTATGATAAGGCTTAAATGAACAAGAGTATACCTTTATTATTTTTCGAGCATATCTATTGATTGTGATTTTGTTTAAAACCAAATGACAGGTACTTGTTGGATTACAACAACCATAAGTAATGACAGGAAGTTGAATTATTAGAGGTGCATGGACAAAAAAATCCCATACAAAATGGGTATAAAAATCACCCTAAACATTATTGTTCCCACACCCGGCATGGGACAATTGAACCAAGTTTAAGTGGCAATAATTAAAAAAGAAGGGATTTTTTTCTTGCTCGCTACGCTCGCTTGCAAAAATTAAATTAACGTCGCTAATAAATGAATGTGCCCATCCCCAACTTGCAACAATACCGGTTCATATACCAAACGCTACTTCAAGATATTTTTTTGCCCGCTCGCTCGCCAGAAGAAAAAATAGCATCGCTTTTTTAAAAAAAATTCGGTCGCTTGCATCCCCCCGCCCCCCCCCCCCCCCCCCCCCTGACGGAGCCTGCCCCAGATACGCCACTTAACCTATTCCGGTTTGTCCACCAGCTGAACAATTAAGAGAGAGAATTTAAAAAAAAATCCACTAAAGTAAAAATGCATCGATTTGTTCGAATTTCTGTAAGTACATCCCCAGTTTTTTCCTTTTTGAAGGCTATCTTATATTCCTCGTCTCTGTAATCTTTCAGCATAATTATTTATTACTTTCTGTACGCGGATGGCAGAGTTCCTTATTTCCTGGAAATGAAAAAGATATACTTTACTAGAGATATGATACAATTTATTACAAAAAAAATTCCAGCAGTATTGCCGGATATTCCCATAAAAATATCATCCATGTCTCTACTTTTTGTCGAAAAAAGGGAACTCTCTTTTCGTTTATAAAGCCCCTTGTAATTGTTTGTATCGAAACTCTCTTTGTTTATTACATAACATCGTATATTTCATCCTTGTGATTTTTTGTGAATGTTTCTTTCAATTCCCTCATTAATTTACCGTCTGTATATACACGACGTAATCTTTTAAAAATAAATCCCAAGATATTCGCTGCCGCGCGCGCGCCATCTAGCGACAACAGTCATATGATCACATGAGAGATCTTTTTTCACAACAATCTTTGACATAACCGAGGCAAGGTTGATCAATAAAATAAAGGTAATAATGCTTTTACGTAAACATTTTCCATTTACCGCTAAGGCTTTAGTTGTGAATTTGAAAAACGATGTTGTTAGTATTCAGAATTGCCACCGGTGGTATTTGTGGTGTGGTCTATTTTGTCTGGTTTGTTTTGATTGAAACATTATAGGCGCTCGCGGTGCGGACCTTCCCATTCATCAACGTCGTCCCCGAAGCTGCAGGGCAGCGCGCTGACCACACATACTGTAGCTGCATTACTATCCTGGCTGTGTATTATTATTAAAACTGTTTTTCAACACCACTGTACAAACCTCAACTGATTTCACTCAAGACAATTGATGACACCTAAATAGCAGTAAAATACAATTTTTTCAACTGACTGATGACGTTGTTAGAATAATTTGAAAATTCAAATTGTGACGATAGACTAGACAGTAGATCTAGATCTAGACTAGTCACATCGCATCGTATTGTGTGCATTTGTGTGTAATGTGTGTATTGACTTCATGTGTGCAATTGCTGCCTATAAGCATGTAGTACAGCGCTAGAGGTCAATACGCATTAGCATTGACTCTCTATTCTTTACTGGAATCAGGGGCGTCGCTAAAGGGGGGTGTGTTGGTTTGGGGGGGGGGGGGGGATGCGACAGATAAAAGAGAAAAAGGAAACAAAAGAAACATGGGAGGGGGGAAACTGAATTCAGACAATTAGAGTTAAGAGTCGAGAACGGTCCAACGAATCGTCTTCTTTCTCTAATATATATTTAATGAAACGTCTAAGCTTCCGTGCTTCGTCCAGGAGGCCTTTCACCCACCCCCCTAGAGAGTGTGCTTTGCAGTTTGCACGCTCTTTAATTGATTCACTTGCTCACTACCGCCCCCCACCCTAAAATAAGATCCTTGCTACGCGCCTGCATTTACATATATAGCTACGACGCTGACTAAGTTGACAAAATAAATCATATATTTAGATCTATGTCTTGGAGGAAAATTACCATGTGCATATATACATGTAGTACATTGTACATGTATGTAGGCCTACGCAAGACAAATTAATACTGGTAGATAGTTCATAGGAAAAATAATTTAGCCTTCAGCGCGGGTTCATAGGGTTAAATTTGTAGACATTGGGACAATATTTTGTCGGTAATTGGTGGCCTCTACACCCCCCCCCCCCCCCCCCCCCCCCCCCACTGAAAAGGTCTAGCGATGCCCCGGGCTGTCACCCGCTCATTTGATTACCTAACTCCAGGGAGCTTTGCTCATAGACGTAATAGAATGGACTATCGACGAAGCAGTTTCTTTGATCCTATGAGTTCCACCGGCAAGGTTTAAATTTTGCGCCGATGCAAAAACCCAGCGGTGGTCCCACCGCAACCCGACAGCTGGATGCGATCACTTGCGCAATCTTTCATAATCGCAACAGCAAGCTCGCGATTTGGGGTTGTTCGCTGCTCCTTCAAATCGTTGAGAACCTAGTGTTAAATAGTATCAGCGCTCTCCGCCATGCGGTCGTAGCGAACATGTTTTCGTCTTTGTGCCTGACGATATTATTGTTATTGTTTTCAGCGTTGTATTTAATACTAACAATTATTATTTATTTCGATGTGTGTATTGTTCCATAATACATATTTTTCTCGTACTCATGAGTCATGTGTTGTTTATAAAGTAATTAGAAGAGCAGGATTATCATTAGATGACATAAATAAGGAAGAACGTTATGATTATGATGGGCAGTCCATATATCGACATAGCAGACGACGGAAATGTTGAATATTTTGCAATGGTCAATTCCCAAATTTACGGTCACAGATATTTATCCTAATTCCTAGATTCTCAAAAAAAACGTACACATATAGTAAGCCTACATCAAGATAAAATAAGATAAAATCTGAGAGAAGAAAAAAAAAAGCAGTCACTCTCGGATTAACAAGTCCAAAATATAACTTGAAAAAAACATGCACCCGCCGATCTCTACCAATGGGACTACGTGTGCAATTTGGATTAGACAAAGGCACGGCAATTTAGTGGTCATAATGCGAAGAAGTCACGCATTACCACAGATTTTCTGAGCACTCACGAAAACAACCCCATTCTTCCAATGCCTATAAAAAAAACGCACGCAAACGCAACAAATAACGAATGATTGTATTCGACAAACGAAGGATTTGTGATCACCACACCGTCGTTGGTTTCACAGAGAAATTAACGGAAACAGGAGAAAAAAACACTTTTTAAACTGTATTTTGTAAGCTCTTGTGGTGACTTTCCTTGCTTATATGATGAGTTTGCTACACACCAACACAAATTCGTAAAAAATCGAAGAAATCACCGATTTCAACGGCTTTTTTTACAGATTGGCGAGCATGAACAGGACGTAAACCTCATGTTTACATCCGAGGCACTATTGACGTAGTATTTAGCTGCGCATGGGCAGAAGGCTCTCCTGTCACGATTCATTCATGAAATGAGAAGCGCAAATCGTGGGAAGCATTGGTCAGTGCGAAGCGACTTGGCCGATAGAGGTCGGCAAAATCCCGGTGGATCTCATAGGACCAAAGGACCCTTATCGGAGCTTATCAAAACATGCCCGCAGCGTTGCGGTCAGACTTAAAACATAGAAGAAAGTAAGACATAAGAACAGGTGGTAGCTATCATTACTTTTACTACTCTTGCCGTCGAAAGTCCATTAGTATTACGTCTATGCTTTGCTGCAGCGAAGGCGTCGGAGCGCCAGCATAGGAAAACGATTCAAAGGGCGGGTTGGGTCACATTTTTTCAAAATGTAAATAACTAGTAATTACAATTTTGACTTACATGTACGATGTTTTTCAACTCCTCTTGGCATCCATTCAACCAGTATATTTTAAGTGGTTGAAAGGATGTCTGGAGTTAGGGCTAAGGCCAGGTGTAGACTGCAAGCTTTAGTCTCTGATATTGTCGGTTGTTTCGCTGAGATTACATCTGGCTCCTCTGAATGCCTCTAATGTTGACAAATGTCAGTTTTATTAGAGAAGGACCCATAGCAGACGGTTATTTCTGCCTACATGTAGGCCAGATGATGTCATGAAATATGATATTGATATCATAATTGGCACCCATATACCCAGCTGTTGTGTGAAGATGGAGATAAAACCTAAAATGCGTTCGCAATCACCACTTCCCGTACTCGATAAACATTGTCATATTGCGCACTGTCTTCGGAGTTTGGTACAATGCTAGTGCAGCAGGCTCTTCTTTCTTCTCACACTAGTAATAGTCATACAGTACACAGCACTTTGACATCCGTCAAGAAATTAATTAAAAATGTGAAATTTTGATACTGGAGTGATAGCAACTTGCTTATCTTCTACATGTTTATGATGATTAGGAGCTAAGATACGATTTACATTACAAAAACGCTGACATATTACGAGAGTTTGCGATTGATGTTGGTTCTGCCTGAAATGCAAATACATGTAGAATCTGAACGTGGTACATGCACACACAAAAACATTTTTTTGCGTTTGAACGCATGGAATTTGCTGAATTTTGCAAACTCCCTGCCACGTCTTTTTACACTAATCACTATATCGTAAAGTAAGTATCGAATTGGCGACCCGATACCATTTTTGGGGGCGTCTATTATCTTAGTTGTCATCAGCATCATTAATATTATTACTATTGTCTTGAGTTTATTGTAATCATCACCATCATCATCATTGTCTGATGATCATCATTTGTAAATTTCAACACTTTTTATGCTATCATTTTTTATCTCGTTCCAGTTTCAGTCATGGACTCTCTTAGTACCAGCTCGGGTATAGTCCAAGAGAGTACCCTTGAGAGATGGCCCAGTACCGAGGTCCCGGGTTACAGTATCTCTGGGGATGAGAGAGAGTCCAGATTCTCTTGTAGACCAGATCTTAACAAGAAACTGGTTTTGTGGTGAGTCAAAGAATCTACGTTTCCCATGTGCTTGCACATCAACTTAGCAAACGCCTGTCCATCAGACTTTTTAAAGACGCACAATCCCCTTATTCCAGAGGGCGTTGGCGGACGGTGCTAGCTGCCTATTGACACCAACAGAATACGGCTCTTACGCAGATGCCATGTTCCAAATGCCGGAACAATGCTGATTATTGCATAAATGTGCCGAAGTAATACCACTCGCAGTTTGGCTCGAAGATTCGGCTGCTGTTCAAATTCATTTCCACCCACTTTCGTGACGTCATATAGCTCCAGCTGGCCAGTGCAGACGCGACGATCGGGAGTGATCAGCTGGCTTGATTGACAGCTGTAGGCAAATTAGAAGTAGATCTTCGGAACTAAGATGGTGATGACTAGAGCACCGATAACTACACTAGCAGGATTGTGCGCCTTTAAATAGCCGGCCAGTCTGTTGCCAGGTGTATTTGTTTATGTTAGGCCATTGTACATACAATTAACTACAGCCACATATTGAAATGATCCCATGAAACAAACAAATAAATTAATAAATACATTACAAATTTAGAAGGAAAAAAAGGAAAAGAAAAACATAACTAAAAAATGATTTATGAATGAGTGATTAATATATATTGAATAAATCACTGAAGTCACTTTCTATGTAGCTTTATAATCTAGAATCCTATTTTCTTTTATTGATAGCATTAAATATTTCTTTCCTGTGAAATGTGTAGCTGATATTGATGGAAATTGTAAGTCTTAAATGGATAGTTGTCATTTTAGAATTTTCTGTTTTTTTAACTATTTAAAAAAAAAGTTTTAAAGTGCATTTCCAAGGAACAAGATATCCGTAGTTTGGACTCTGTTGCCATCATATCATATATCCACCCAAGTCTTTAGTAGAGTTACACCCAGAAGCTAATTCTCCTCAAAGGGTACTTGCATTAATTACAAGAATTCCAAGATTGCTCAGAAAATTCTCATCCAATTCCTTCTGTACTTGTCGTAATTGCTTACTTTCCAGGGAAGGAGACATTTGTAGTTTGGACTCCATTGCCATCGTACATCCCACAAATGAATCGTTAACAGAGCCATGCCCCCTCACAAATAAGATCTTCTCTCGAGCAGGCCAAGACCTCGTGCAAGAAATCCAGACGTCGTTCAGAAGTAAGTTGATCTCCAGAAATTTTGAACCACATTCTTTTTTTATGATGCATGGTAGAGCAGTGATCTCGTAATCCGGTGACCCGGGTTCGAAACCAAGACGATGCACTAGTGCCCTTTGGTAAGGCATTAATCCTCATTACCAGGTCCCTCGGAGAGGACCCAAAGCCGTCGGCTGTCTGGTTGCTTACTTACAAGCATTTATCGTCGGTGGAGTGACAAAACCTCGTATCTCAAGTTTTTGAGATTTTGAATTTTTTGCATAATTGTGTACCTAATGGCCTACGACACCACCTGATAAATCCATGGAACGCCCCCTGTCTCGGTTTTTTTCACAAATTCCACACAAAGGACGGTGTCACAGCACTAAATCTATGGAGACAGGAAAGGTTTTTTTGCTCTCCTGAAAATTCATGATTTTTGAGATACAAGGTTTTGTCACCCACCGACGTTATGCTTTCTTAGCAGTCAGGTAAAATAACCACCTTATCTATTTATATGCTGATGCTAGGGCTGTATGATAATTCAGTAATATAAAATTTGTGTGATATTAGGAAAATGAAATACAGGGTATAGAGTTTTGTTACTATGCATTTGCCTTCAAACAATATGTGTTTTTAGTTTGGACAAAAATGCTATGTTAGCTGATTTTAGAGATGATTACAACTGTTGTAAAATAATGAAGTGAAATCGATTTATGACATTTTGTGACATCTGGGGATGACAATATCATCTCATCAGGGACTTCAAAATGCAATGCAGTCCTAGCAGAAGCCTTACGGTACATGTACATGAGGCAGGGCTTATATTTATTACCTACATGATGCACCACGCGTTACCCCGGGGTACCGTAGTACCCCGGGGTACCGCGTTGTGTAGCGCCATCTCGCGTCCACTCGAGTACAATGTATGGAGTGCGTGTACATAGTTCCGTGGTATCTCTATGGTGTATACTATGCATGGTGTGCATGCATGCACTGCTCGCGCTATAGCGCTCGCTCACGATCACAAGCGCACTACGGTGGCTATCGCACACTATAGTGCTAGCTAGCTCCGGCGTCCGGTCCCGACCTGCGGCTATTTTAGAACTTGATGTTATTGCATGTACGTACCGTACCTGTATACTCTTTCGAAAAAACAACAACAAACAAACATCGCATCATCGACATAGTTAACGCGCGCGTTACTGTCAAACTTTCAAACTTTGAAAATGCCATGGGTGGAAGGTGATGGTGGATACGGGGATTTACTGAAAGGGAAAGGACGTAAAAGAGGGAAGATTACAAGGGCCGAGAAAGTTGAAAGAGCTCGATCTCGTAAAAAAAATAAAAGATAATACCACTTCATAATGTGATTTTCATTTTTATTATTCAATTGGAAAATTTGTTTATTCACAACACATGAGATTATCATGACTGCTGTACACAGATAGCATCATAACACAAAATAGAACTTTCATTTATAATTAATAATTTTAATTATACCACAATAATAATACAGGGTGTATCATAACAGCATGAAATGATATCAATAATAGAATAATTACTCATAACAACAATGAATTTTAGAAATACAGGACTTAAAGGATTTTTTACAAGAACATTGGACACAATTGAAGGTTGAAAAAATCACACAAAAATAATTTCCCACTTTTTGGTAACCCAGGGTACATGCAGCCTTAAAAAAAAAAAAATAATTCAACAAAATGGCCGAATTTGTTTTGGTACCCCAGGGTACCATTTATAGGGACACTGATTTTCCGCGATCACGGAAAACGAACGGAATTCACGGAAATGACCATTTGAAACGGAAAATGCAATTTCGAACGGAAAATCGCGGAAAAACCCCTTTTACCTCAAATCTTTTCATTTTTCAAGAAGAAAATTGTAAAACACTATTTTTGTGACTCGTTATGCAGTGAAAAAATATCAGGCCCAAAATCATGGTTAATAATTCCGAATATTTAGCGATATTCGTCAGATTCTTAGGAGACAGGGTGCTGCCATTTGTTTCGCTGGACCAATAGAGATCGTTAGGGGGCGCTATTACGTAGACGTAATACTAGGCACACACATGCCAGCAGCGGACGCTAAGTGCGGCAATATTTTACACATTGTACACACGCTGGCATGTGCGCCTAAAATCGATTGATTGCTGACATGACAGCCAAGACTGAAATGTTTTCGTCAACGTCGGTAGTACTGTATCGTGTTTTGACACATTCCGCTAACTTTAGTCTGCTTGTCTAAGTTTGAATTTGAAGTTGGTAAATCTAAACATTTGATAATTTTTCGTAGGTCTAGTCTAGACCCTAGGGGTCTATATTTTCACTAGTATTTTGCATCAAGTTTATCCAGTCCCGTCCATATGTTTTTGAGTAGTTATCAGTGGCTTGTCAAAGGTAGCGGCTTTAACAGAACATTTGTACCCTACAAGTTCAAGTTTTAATGAAAATCTTATGTAAACAGAATTTTAGTTTTTTTATGTGTTCAAAGTCTATGGCAAAACGGAATTCCAGATTTTCTGAAACGGAAAAGGCCATTTTTTGAAATGGAAAATCAGTGTCCCTACATTTATGTCATCACATGTAGGGACCAACAGATATATTACAGTAAGGTCTACATGTACATGTATAAAGTAAAGATGTTGTATTGCCCTTTAGGTGCCAAAACATCTTTTTATTTTTATAATTATTTTTTGAAATATTTTTTTTTTACTCCCACTTTGGGCTGATATTTCTCAGTTTTGAATGCTTTAAGACATATTTTTTTAATTCATTAAACATTTTTCCCCTAAAAAAAAGGTAATGAAATAAAAAAACTTTTTTAAAAAGCCGACCATAGATTTCAAGATTTCTCGGTCGGTTGCAAAGGGCAATACAACATCTTCTTTTTTTTAATGCCTAATGCCCGTCATTGGCTGCATTTTCCCTCCCCAAACAACAAGCCTTATGACCATTGTACAAAGAAGTATATGTATTTCAATAGTAATAATATTATGTGTGATTAGGCAGGGCAAACCATTTTGTTTGTCCTACCTAGCAACAACTAATGTATAAATCAGAATTTTTTACTGTTTAACTACATTTATTTGTAGCAGGTAAATGAAATAATTTGTAATGAGGCACTAAGCGAAGACTTAGGCATTAGATTTGATTACATTACAAAAATTGGCTAATGTCACCAGAGCGTTTTAATCACGCCAGATACTTTACGTAGAGGTGTTGTGGTCGAGTGGATACGTCACCGGATTGTCGATCACAAGGTCCGCGGTTTGAGTCCCGCCTTGAACTAATGTCCTTTGGCTAGACATTGATCTACATTTGTTGGTAGGATTATTCCTTGAAATGCAATGTGCGCTGATAAGGCGGCCAGAGCTAAAGCTAGGGTAATAAATTTCAAAGCTCTTGGGAAGCGCATAGAGATGTTATTTCATAACGTATTATGCGCTATACAAGAACTGAACTACTTTTGTTATTATTATTATACTAAAGTTCTTACCCTTTCTCTCTCTGAAACCAAAGTTTGTCGGACGGGTGATGCCAAGCTCACCAAGGGCTACCAGCTGCCCTGCAGGTATATCATCCACACGGTCGGCCCTCGTTACAACATCCGATACAGGACAGCCGCAGAGAGCGCCCTCTATAACTGCTACAGGAATGCACTGCTCCTTGCAAAGTAAGCTATGAGTTACGATCGATCCAAATCAATCCCAAGTCCTCCAATCAATCGCAAGTTTGCAGTCTCCTATCTCTTATGTACATACAGTAGTTGCGATTGATATCAACTCTTTGTAAGAGTAAAGTTGTGAAACCGAGCTGAGATTCAAACTGAGATTTAACCTCATGAATAAATTTAATGTTTTTTCATTGATAACAGCTTTTGTGATCACCTGCATAAAGCAATCATTCATTTTTTTCATTTTCATAAAAATACAATCGAAGCAAATAAACATTCATATATCATAACAATGCAAATACAGAGTAATCGTTATCATCTGCAATGTATAAAATATGTTTCACTTACTTTACAATTTATGTAAAATGAAGAAGAAGAACTTTTAAAAAAGCCTGTGTCTTCTATTTTGATGGATAAGAAAGCAAAGATCCATGAGACTTACATCTGTAAGTCCTATCCGAGGGACAAGGTATGTTCAACTGAGGATGAATTATTCACTCGAGGACACTAGGTGGCACCGACATGTTTTTGAAACAAAAATGCAAGAACTGCAAACTTAGTTCAAACACCATTTGGCACTTCTTTTAAACCCTGCTCTGATTCGACTTAAAAAGAAGTGTAAGCAGAAAACTAACAAAAAGTAAAAAACACCTCATCCAATAAGTTCAATGTATAAATAACAAGGTGTTTAATTTATGGTACATGTATGTGGTGGTCTGTATGATCTGTGCATATATAGATTTCTGTTACTTTAATAATTCTAAGTGGTTTGCTGTTTAAAATCTTTAAAATCAGAGTGTAATTCTGGGGTCCATGTGCGCCAGAATTATGTTAGGCTCAAACCTTGCATTATAAATGAAAAAGCATGGAATATTGGTGTTACTTTTACATGAGTATACATGTAGTAATGAGAGCTTAACTGTAATTAAATTTTGTGTCAGAAAAGGAAATTTTTTCACTTATAATTACACATGCTCTAGACCCTTACATACAGTACTTTAGTACAATTTTCACTTAAAGGGGAATTTCACTCTGATATTAAGTTGGTTGTAATACGAGTAGAAAAATAAGAGTATTTTTTTGGTGAAAAATTTGAGCAATATCCGGTTGAAATAATAGGAAAGTTGTGAATTTTTTATATTGTCACGAGTGAAACACAGTGACATACATGTATCTTGCGAGCTCCTGTCCAATTTGCTCTGCACAGAAAATTTCATTAACTTTAATTTTCTTAGTTATTGATGACAATAGATTTGTTTCAAACAGGGGTTGTATAAAAACATATTTGCAATAATTATATTCAGGTGAATGTATGATTGGAATTTGGAAATTTATTATTTATTGATGTTTTTTAGTACAAGGAAAATAAGAAGGGACCTTGCAAGACACATCTCAGAGTTGCAAGTTTTTGTTTGATAGCTTGCACTTTCAAAAATTCATGATTTTTTTTCTAATCCGGCTTTTGCTCAAATTTTCACTGGCCTGTTTCTCTCATTTTTTATTAAAACCAAGATAATATCAGGGTGGATTTCCCCTTTGAGATTATTCATGTGAGCACTCAAATTGAAAGCAATTTTCAAAAATATTTAATAGCCTTGTTGCCATATTTGTCCTTTCCATTTATTAACAGGAAACACAAGTTTGTACTTTTAATGTCACCATTCCAAAGTTCACTGCTAAATGTTAGATTCAGTTATTTCCTTTTAGGTCATGTACATGTAGTGTAGTCTAACCAGGTCTCTACACTACATGAAACTATTTATCCTGTTACTCTGAAGCAAAATATTTTTAAAGCCCCTCTAAAGTGTTGGGAGCCCCAAATTTGTCAAAAATTTTACTGAAATTTTGTCATAGTGTGAAAGAGGATGTCAATTTAGACACTTTTCTGCAAAGATTTCTCAGAGCGAAATGTGTTTGAAGAGAAATATTGATGAAAGAATACATAATTTAGGTTTTCTGCATACAACAGAAAACCCAAATTATGTATTTTATGTCCTGGGAAAACACGACATTGTGATTTGGGTGATATGTATAGAAAAATACAACATTCCTGTCTTCAAGTGTATTCTTCCTTGAAATCTGTTATCATTTAGAATGGAATATGTATCAATAAAGTATTTAAGTGGATAATCACTATAAATATGGACTTTACTCCTTGGTACATATAGTGCTACTGGGTATCTAGATACAAGGATTTCTATTTACATGTATTTTTGTAATTAGTCTATGTTTTGGACTTTCATTTCAACCACCAGGAAAGGTATGTAATTGAGAAGAAAAGTTCCTTCCTGAAAAGGCAAAACGATTGTGGTATTTCTCAACACTGTGCATCATAACTATATCGTTTGTAAACATACATGTAAATGTATCTCATTTTCAAGAGTTTAAAAGCATGTTGAGTTTTAATAACCATGTTTTGCCATCATTGTTGGTAATGTGGAGCATTTTTAAATTTAACACAGAATGAGATAAGAGGGTGGGGGGGGGGGGGGTGGAAAAAAAACTTACCCCTTCTCACAATTATATATATACATTTTAAAATCTTATTTTGATATCATGAGCTTCATACTAAATTAATTTTGCTCATAATTTGCTTGATAAACCTGAATGTTTCTAATATGTTTAGCATAATAATGCCAATGTACATGTATATACAAAACCCATGTACCAACACATCCAAGTTAATTAGCATGGCTCTGTCTCCTTTATTCCCTCTCTCTCTTCCTTTTGTTGTTGTTAAAGGTAAAGACCAGTAATGGTCATGCGATTGCATTGTGAAAGAAACGTTGTGGAATCGATCAGAAAAGGTTGATCATCTAGCATCTAGCATCTGCAAGGTTCTGGAATCATCAAAATGATAAGAAATTTGGCCCATTCTTCGTAAAGTTACAAGCACTATACACAGAAAGATGTATATGGGACTACCCTATCTCTCTCACACGACCATGAGAGAGATAAATTTACCAAATATATGAATTAGTAGGCGGTTTCCCGGCAAATTTTTTATCATCATGTATTAGTCAAAACATATTCTTTCACATGATTGGTAATGAGAGCTTCCATTTCATTTTTTGAAATTGGGGCGTTACCAATACTGGTCTTTACCTTTAAAGATTTGTTTTTTATTTTAGTATGCACACTCTGCCATCACCAGTTGTATAAAGGTGTAATATCTACATGAGTTTGGGTGAATAAAAACTAACTAAATATGAAACTGAAACATGTAATCAACCATCAAGCATGTTACACTGATGAATATTATTTCAATTATTTTTGTTTCAATATCACTGTTAACAATCATGATTATTAACAAAGAAAGTTTGAAGTACATGTACATGTAAATACACTTGTATAGATACTAGAAAAGAAAGAAAAGTAAAAGTAGAAAAGAGAAAAAGCCCTGGTGACGTCTAGCGTCCATTTCTAAGAAGGTTGGACAACTAATAGCATGTGGACTTCTTTTTGGTCCATTTACTTTCTCTTTCTAGTTGTACGTTAAGACCCCCCCCCCCCCCCTCCCACTCAGTGTTATTTAGGGTATGTGTAACTGTATGCATGTCCCCTCCCTTTGAAAGCACCTCCCTAAGTCTGGTGTGTAAAGTCAATATGGGCCGATTTTTTGTGTATTAAGAGCAGGACATTGCTGCGTGAAAAGAACCCCTTTATGTGAGATTTTAGGAACATGAATGCGGTCCCTCCATTCCCGGAGTGGGGGGGGGGGGGGCGGGGTTAAGACTTGAGACAGTGGTTGGCAGTGTCATCTGCTTTAAGTTTCCTTGAAATATGAGACAAAGTACCTTCAACTTAAACTTGTTAAAAATCAGAGAAGATTCAATGTTTTCCATCATACCATTCTTAATTTTGATTAAAAGATAGTCGCATGTTTTGTTGGAAGTTTGTTCGAATGTTACCAACGAGCCAAGAAACTTGTGATTCTCTTGCTTAAGTGACGATATTGAATCTTTTCCGATTGTAAACACATTTTGAACAGGTTTGAACAAAATGGATAAGGAACTGCCTTTCGGCGTTTTGAGATGTAGTCCCATTGAATCCATGTGTTTACTTATTTGGTTAATAAGATTTTGATGCGTCGATCCTCTTATTACCACTACCAACACAAAAATCATCCGTAAATGATGCAGTAACGACTTTGTTTTACATTTCCATTTTCCTCTACAAAAATCATCCTCAAATGGTGCTGTAACAACTGTACAACTTTGTTTTGCGTTTCCTCTGTAGGGAGCAGAAAATCACATCAGTGGCGTTTTGTGCAATTCACACGGTGAGACGGAACTATCCCCCTGAGGAGGGCGCTCACATAGCTCTGAGTAAGTTCACACGGAAGCATATCGTCTGTTAGGAGCCAGAAGGGTCTTAAAGGCGTCGTTTAAAGGCCCACTGCACTACTTGTAGCTACTTGCGCCCTCTATATAACAAACCATGCCTAATCGGTGACCATTTGTCCCCCATGATCCTCTTTTTCTTATGTTAACTGAGAGCTGAGTTGATGAGATAACCACCTGTCCAGTGACCTTGTAGGGAGGTCTAATCCCTCCTGTAAACTATGGCAGATAAGCTTTAACAATGTTAAATCTGAGATGCATGCATGGCCCTACATGTACTTTATCGGTGTCTGTAATATGGTGTAATATTGAAGCCCTAAAAAAGAAATCGCGCTTCACAATGATTAATACTGGTAAGTGCCTCCAAAAAATAACAATCTTTGAGTGATCGGTTTTACCATACTCGTTTTCCCCAATAGACTGTAGTGTTATGAAAACGCAATATTTGGTTTCGATTTCCAATCATAAATATCTTGATAATCACTAATCAGACAGGCGATCGGCTTGTAAAAGTCATGGAGTTCCTGACTGACCTAAATGTTTATAATTATCATTGGAGCATGAGCTAAATCCAGGATTTTGTTTCAGAATCTGAGGCAAAGTTACGGATCCCTATGTTTCATTTGCAGGCCCAATAAATGAAAAGGTTAAATTCCAAAGGCATTTGAAAGATACTACTCCTAATTTTAACTTCCCTCAAAACAAAAGGGCTTAACAAAGTCTTTTTGTGGGAAAATAACGACTGTTAGTTGTGATGCGCAAAGATTCAGTCAGTTTAATTTTGGCCTTTACAAAAAGGAGGTTATTTATGTACCGGTAATCAAATGCTCATGTACTGTACCCTCTACAGCTTATTTTATGTATGTTATTACCAAAGGAAATAAAGAAGTCAGTCAATCACTCAATAGTGTCTGACAGTGAAGTTAGAAGAAAAAAAAACAGGTTTTACAAAATATTTTCACAGATGCTAACGGCTTTACATAACTGTTAAGTCCAACTTAGAGTTAAGTTTGACCATTAGGATCTTTGTGAAACACCCCCAGGGGTAGTTCTTCAGGAGTAAATTAGGAAGAGGTACAGTAGGTTTCCTTGGCATAACATTCTGATAATTGTCTTAATAATAATTGTCCTCAAAATAAATTGTTCATGAGGGTAATTGTCCTTGGGGAACATGAAACTAACATTTGGGGAAGTTCCCCCCCCCCCCCTCCTCCCAAGGGATAGTAATCCTAGGCCTAGGAGCCATTTGTCTAGGCCCTCTAGGGTGATAGTTGAGGGGCCAGCCTTCCGAGTACAGTTGTCAAGCAGTATATTTATAATGATGGATGTATTTTGTACATCGCCTTTCGTTTCCCCTTTCAGGAACGATCAGAAGATTTCTAGAGAAGCATGGGGAATCTTTTGAAACCATTGTATTGACGATGATGGGAGTTGACGAGGTAAGAATTGTGAAGAGTCACAGAACATTTATTTTTCCTTGTAGACGTAACTTTAAAGGTAAAGACCAGTTTTGGAAACGCCTCCATTTCAAATTATGAAATGGAAGCTCTTATTGACGGGAAACCGCCTACTAATTGATATATTTGGTAAATTATCATATCAATCTGGCCTGGATAAATATTGCATAGTCCCATATACATCTTTCTGTGTACAGTGCTTGTAACCTTACCAAGACTGGGCCAAATTTCTTATCATTTTGATGATTCCAGAACCTTGCAGTACACACCAATACTTATATGCTAAATGATCAACCTTTTCTGATCGATTCCACAACGTTTCTTTCACAATGCAATCGCATGACCAGAACTGGTCTATACCTTTAATAAGAGGAGTTGGGATTATGAGAGTTGTCACTAAACTTTTTTTTTCTTCAAATTTGAATAAGGTAAGATTGTATTCTTTTATGTTGCTCTTTTTCTGAGTTGTATTTTGAAACATTGAACATTGTACCTTTAATATCAATGAAAATAATGGCAGAATGAAGGCCTACTGGTAAGTGCATTAAATAATTACATGTTAGATGAGTAAAAAAATAATAAGCAACATGACACTTAAAGTTTAAAGGGATAGTTGAGTTCTGTTTTCAGACCGCAAATGCCTTCAAAGTGCATGGTTATTGCTCTTATTCTTATCTATGACATTTATAAGGTAATTTTAGACCCCAAAATGTGTGAAATTTAGCCAATACGATCATACCAATTCATCTCCACCTTAAAAAAAAACACGGTGACTGTTGATTAATTATTTCATTAAAAATAACAATACATGAGCTGGCTAATTGTGGGTAATATAATCAACACGAAAATGCCAACAAAAAAGCTAACATCGGCATTGGCTGAAATACGACGTAAAGGGCGTTATTTCGTTTTTGTCAACAGTTTTTTCAAATTTTTCAAAATATCTAATATTTGTGGTGGTACACAAGCATTAGAAATTGTTATATTTTTATCAAACAAAGTTGATTTTGTCATTTAAATATTATGTTCTTTCATATTTGACACTCAGTTTTTGATTATCTCACAAAAAAAATATTTTGTGTAGCGCCCTCTGCAACAGAACTCAACTATCCCTTTAAGTATAAGCTCAGGTACAGTACATCAAACATGAAGTGCAATTTGATGCTTGGGTTTATAATGTACATGTACATAAAAGATTGAGTACTCTCGGTGAAACTGCTTTTTAAAGGTAAAGACCAGTTATGGTCATGTGATTGCATTGTGAAAGAAACGTTGTGGAATCGATCAGAAAAGGTTGATCATCTAGCATCTAGCATCTGCAAGGTTCTGGAATCATCAAAATGATAAGAAATTTGGCCCATTCTTTGTAAAGTTACAAGCTCTATACACAGAAAGATGTATATGGGACTACCCTATATCTCTCACAGTCAAATAGATATAATAATTTACCAAATATATCAATTAGTAGGCGGTTTCCCGGCAAATTTTTAATCATCATGAATTAGTCAAAACATATTCTTTCACATGATTGGTAATGAGAGCTTCCATTTTATTTTTTGAAATTGGGGCGTCTCCAATACTGGTCTTTAACCTTAAGAGTAATTATATAAAAATCCTTCACAATAATGGAATGTTTATGTAATGGATTGTTTGAAGCAGCAAACTGAAAGCAAAAGCACAGGGCCAGTATTCAATTCAATACTTAAGTTTGAAATATAAGTATATTACTTGGTTTTCCACTTACTGGTAGATAAAATACTTGGCCAATGTTGGCATTCAGTTCAAACTTTTGGCTAAGTACTTAAGGGTACATGAAACAACATACTTCATAGGTTTACATTAAAGCATGTTCTTTCCTTCATGCGCAGACTCATGGAGAGGGGGGGGGGGGGGGCAACGGGGCCAGGCTGCTTCCTCCCTGGCCAAAAAAAAGACGGACCCCCCCCCCCCCCATCCCTGCCCCCTAAAAAGTTTTAAAATAAGATGGTAATCACCACAAATATCCACTCTCGCTTTTTATCTGAATGTATCATTTCATTAGTCCTCCGTTCTTTCAACACCCACCATCTCTTGCATCCTCTTTCTTCCTCTCATTTTGATCATTCAGATTCATCCACATTTTCATGCAAAATATTTTCTTCATTTTTTCTCAATCTTTCTTCTACTCTTTTTACCATCTTTAATGAGGCATCGTGTCAATCAACACCAACGTTTCAAAACACCGCGTATATTTGACACTGTTACGCGCCTTTGTTCTGAGAGCGCCGACTCAGGACATATTTGTGGCGGCCTCGCGGGAATGTCATAATAAATCTGTCTTCATTCTTTCTCAATCTTTCTTCTACTCTTTTCACCATCTTTAATAAGCTGAAGAAAAGAAAGAAAATCAATTACAATATCTCCGACACTTGAGAAATAAATAGTGAGAGAAAGAGAGCTAGAAGCGAAAACAATTAAATATCGCTGATGTTACCGGAGTTTATGACAAAAATTAAGCCGTCGGAAAGAAATCAAAGTAAGTCCATTATCACCTGTGCTCGAGAAATGCAAAGAGCGACCGATCGCGGGAGAGACAGAAGCGAAACTAATTAAATATCTGTTGATTTCTATCAATTCTTATGGTGCATTCTATATCGAAACTCTTCCGGCACGCAATATCAAGAAGGTAGTCGCTGCCGATCGATCTCGCCTTCGTTTGGATGGCCTATTCATGGAGCATTCCAGAATGCACCCACAATGCGCCAATTAAGTCGTTAAGTACCGCATTCTAGGTACATTCTAGGTACATTCTGGAATGCGGATTAACAGAACAATAGATTCTGAATAGGGCATTCTACATGCATTCCGAATGCCAGTTGAATAAATCCGTGGCGCCTTATGATTGACCATGTAATGTCATATTGCTTATCAGTAAGTATTTTACTCAGATTTTGTCTTACGTATGTAAGTCTAAAGGCCCGGTCACACAGAGGGGACGCATGCGGGACGCACGGCCGGCGCATGGAAAATTTCCAATTTTGGCCAGTGCGTTGTCGTTCGCTAGGCGTGCGTCATCACTCGTTACTCGTTCGTCGAGCGCGCTGGACCAACGCTGGACCAACGCTATGCATTCGTCGTCATTCGCTGTGTGCGTCGGGATTTTTTGAGCATGCTCAAAAGTGTGCGCGGAGCTCGACGCATGAATGTACACGCCAAAGGCACGCCAGACGTGCGTTGAGCGCGCTAGACCAGCGCCAGACATACGCGGGGCACACGTCCTGTATACGCACAGCGCGCTAGCTACACGCTGTGCATTTTGTGTCAGCTCACTAGCTTTTCCAAAATCATGACAAAAGTTAGGCACACGACCTTTTCCGATTTCCAATGCGCTGGCCGTGCGTCGTAGAACGCGGTGCATGCGTGGACCATTCGTCCAGCGCGCTAGCAACACGCTGTGCATTCGTGGAAGTTGTTATCATGTGCGCTCTGGGTACGGTCTGTATGCGTACTGTATGCGCCCTGTATGCGCTCAGCGCGCTAGCAACACGCTATGCATTTGGTGTCAAAAGTTGGGCGCACGACAACGCACTGGCCAAAATTGCAAATTTCCCATGCGCTGGCCGTGCGTTCCCCATGCGTCCTCCCTGTGTGACCGGGCCTTTAAATGCGATTTGAATACGAGATAGGTATTTAGTTCTTTATAGCTTAGTAATTTACTTAGTAAATTTCGTACTCATTGTAAGTATTGAATTGAATACCGGCCCTGGTTCTTATACCTGTCTTGTTATTTTACTCTTGCTGTCATATGTTGTAGCGACTTTACAGTGAGTCGCTCCCCTTTTACTTCCCTCTAGACAACTTTAGAGGAACAGTTTTGAATTAGATGATTTGCCAATACATTCATCTGTCTTGACATATTTTTTCTATCATTATCATCCCTATAGCCATTATTCAGCAAGTTGATTGCCCTGCTACATTTTGTCCACATGCGTATATTTCTCTTCTGCTATCATCCTCTCAAGCAAATACTGGCTGCCACTATCCCTCTCTGATATTGTCATCCCTTGTAGCACCTATACAGTGAGTTGCTGCCACTGTACTTTCCGAGGACAGAGCCTAAGGAATAGTCAGGAATTATATGGCCTGTTAAATTAGGTCATTTTACATGTACAGTCAAACCTGCTTTAGTGACCACCTGTCTACAAAGAACACCTGATTAAAACAAGCACATTTTTTGTTTCCCTTGGGCGGTCGCTTTACACAAGTTTGACTGTATTTCTCTTCTACTGTCAATCCTCTCAGGCAAATAGTTGCTGCCACTCTCCCTCTCTAATATTGTTCTCATTGTCGTCCCTTGTAGCACCTATACAGTGAGCTGCTGCCACTGTACTTTCCGAGGACAGAGCTGGAGGAGCAGTGGGCTATCGACCTGGTCCCAGAGAACATCGGCAATGAGGACGGAGAGCCTGTAATCGCAGAGCGAAAGATACGCATCATGGGGGGTCCTACAAGAAAACAATCAGGTGAAATATCCAGTCTGCTGCTTCGTAGATAACGGTTAATCTTAAATTAATCTTGCATGGGAAACAGTTGAATAATCTTGAATCCTTTGGTATCTATGCCATGTATTCATGTGGCACAGGGAGATTATTTGTGTTCCATATAAACAGTTCATAGAGGTGTCGTGGTCAAGTGGATATGTCACCGGACTGTGGATCACAAGGTCCGTGGTTCAAGTCCCGTCGCGTCACTAATGTCCTTTGGCAAGACATTGATCTACATTTGCCACTCTCCACCCAGGTGTTAAATGGGTACCCGGTAGGATGCGAAAGTTAATGTGGTTGGATTAGCAAGTGGCGCTTGTAAAATGGCAACTGGCTGGAAAGGAATGCTCCCCAGGGAGTAGATAATGTACATACATTGTGTTTCGGGTGAGCCTGAATCTGATGACGGGGTAATAATATGTGCTGCACCTAGAAACAAAGTATTAAGAGCATTATGAATGTGAGCTATTATTATTATTATTATTCATAGCAAAATCGTTTGAACTTTTACAGAGGAGGAGGAGGCCCATGAGCAGACCCTTGCCGATGAGCTGAGGGGGGACAGGATCTCTAACGGAGCTCCGTACGAGGTGGACCCCGAGCAGGACGAGGAGGAGCTGGAGATCGGCAAGCACGCCTTTACCGCCATGGAGAAGAATCCAGACTCTGTGAAGAGGCAGAATCAGAGGGAGAAGAGATCGGTCATACCGGCAGAAGCGGAACAGAGGCAAAGGTTGGTCTGTTTTAAAGCCCCACTGTCCTACTTGAAGCTACTTGCTCCCTCTATATAGAAAACTTCCCCAATCGGTACCTGTTTGTCCCCCATGATCCTCTTTTTCTTATGTTAGTTGAGAGCTGAGTTAATGAGATAGCCACCTGTCAGTGACCTCGCTGTGTCGTCTAATCCCTTCTGGCCCAGTAGTATTGACAGTCTTTAAATGACTTGATGACTTTGCCTAAGTTTCTGAAACAAAATCCTGGATTTAGCTCATGCTGCGATCAGAATTCTAAACCTTTAGGTCAGTCAGGAATCCCATGACTCTTACAAGCCGATCGCCTGTCTGAGTATCAAGATATTTATGATTGGAAATAGAAATGTCAAAAACCGTTTTTATAACACTACAGTCTATTGGGGAAAATGAGTATGGTAAAACCGGTCACTCAAAGATTTTTACTTTTTTGAGGCACTTCATGATCATTTTGAAGCATAATTTTTTTAGGGCTTCAATATTACACCATATCACAGACACTGATAACACGTAGGGCCGTGCATCTCAGATTTAACATTGTTAAACGATACCTTTAATAGGAGATAACCCCCCAATTTCATAATAATAATAACCTAGGCTTCCACAGCGCATATCATTTTCAGAAAAAATATCAATGCGCTTTACAATAATAATTTTTTTTTTTTTTACTGTGAACATTTTACTGCAAAATTTTCAATGATAAGAATTTGTTTTAAATGTCTCAGCCTAGAGCACCTCACATTTCTGTATCTTGTAACAAGGATTTTTTTTTTTTTTATTGTAAACAAAATTGTATAATGTTATAAGATTAATTATCTCTTAAATCTACATGGGACTTTCAGATGGTTGATAAGTAAAGAGCACAATGAATAAAGATAAAATATCATTTTACACCAAGGTCTACAAGGAATACAATTTGAATTTGAGCTCTCTTTTGTGCCTGCCAAAGATTATGCAAATCCATCTGCTAGTCACTCGCTAGTTTTGTTTATGCCTATTTAGTTTCTTTTATGCCTATTTGGACAAGGTATGATTGTCCAAGGCAATCTACATTGTAATTTCAATATTGTGATTTGCAATATCTCTTAACAGAAGTCACTGTTATGTATAATGCTTATATCCAGTAATATTACCCTTGCTTTCATATTGTCAAACTTGGAAACAGATACGAAAGGTTGCTCAGAAGAGCTCGTCAGGAAGACTTGTCAGACATCGCAGCTCATCGATGCATCTACGCCACAGGGCATGACATCCATGGGCGGCCGATCATCGCCTTTGTGGCAAGAAATTTCCCTGCGCATTCCATCGACTTAAACAAGGTAAGAAGGAAGTTCATCATCCAGGGAAGAAAATATTTTAAGAATTTGTGGGGCTAATTTTTCAAGCTTGCTTGCATGAAAATATCACTCTTTAATTTGTTTTGCATTGAACTCTTTTTGGAGGCTCTTTCTCATGACTTTCAGGGGCTCTTTTAAGCATTTTGGGGGCTAATTTGCCCCGAGCCCCCGTGTACGTTTTTCCCTGTCATCATCATGCCGTAGTTTGCAGGGACAGACTCTTATTTAGACATTTTACCACGATTCCCTTAAATAACCTTGAGGAGAGCCTGTCCCTATCAGTCTCCGGCTGTGTAAAAGCAAATATAATTCATCCTAAAAGAATTAACATTTACATTTTGACCTTTTCCAAATGCTTTGAATAGATCATTTAAAATGTAAGGGCATCTCAAGAGCAATCCCAGTCAAATGGCACTGCCACTTTGATATCCATCCACATAATGATAACAATAATAATTATGATTAATTTGCACCATATCCACAAATCCAATGCTCAAGGCGCACCAGTGCTAAAGATGAAATCACGGGGGCGTTTCACAAAACTTGTCATCAGTGACAAATGACAGCTTTTGTTATAAGCTACTGAAATCCTTGCTTCTGATTGGTTATCAACAGATTTGTCACAGATTTTTCATCTCAATCACCAGGTACTACTTTTTGTCATCCACCTACTCGACTCCATAGTCAACCAGGACTTCATTTTAATATGGATTATTTTTTAACACTTCCACTGAAACATTTTTTTTTTTTAGTGCACACTTTCACCCCTGATTCATTTCAATCACCAGGTACTACTCTATGTCATCCACCTACTCGACTCCATCGTCAACCAGGACTACGTCGTCGTCTACTTCCACACGATGAGCTCTGCCGACAACCAGCCTGAACTGAGCTGGTTGAAGGACGTCTATCACATGGTTGATAATAGATATAGAAAGAACCTGAGAGCCATGTACATCGTCCATCCTACTTTCTGGTCTAAGGTGAGTAGGAGATCACGGCCCCATTTCAGAAAAATTGTCACCAGTGACAAATGACAGGTTTTGTTATAAGCTAGTGAAATCCTTGCATCTGATTGGTTAATCAGCAGATCTACGAATGTGACTACCGGTATTATAATAATAATAATAATAATAATAATAATAATAATATAGAATATTTAGGAGCGCTAAAAGCAATAAGTACCATAGCGCTTACAAATACAAATAATGAAAAGAGGACAAAAATGTACAGTACAGGAAGTATATCACATAGATCATTGGGGAAAAGATGAGTTTTGAGGGATCTATTGAAGGTGGCAAGACAGGTAATTTTCCTTTGGAAAGAGGGATTCTGTTCCAAGTCTTTGATGCAACTACTGCAAAACGTTTTTCAGCTACCAAGAGTCTAGATTTGGAATGATAAGTTTACATGTGTCGGTTGCTGAAGGAAGATTTCGAGTTGGTGTATATATTTGGAGGGTGTCTTTAAGATATTCAGGTGCCAAATGATTGAGTATTATTATTATTGTTATTATTCTTCTTCTCTGACCAGCTTGTGACCTGGTACTTCACAACATTCACAGCTTCCAGCATCAAGAGTAAGGTCCATTCGACGGGAGCCGTCCATTACCTCTACAAAACTATACACCCGGACCAACTGGACATTCCTCCCTTTGTCATCGAACATGATATGAAGGTAAGACAAGACAATAGGACTGCATCTCTGATATGCCTTCCACCCTAAATTCAGATAAGGAAATGGATGACATTATTCTTGAAATATGATGAAAACAAGAAGCCTATTATTACATGTCAACTAATGACCATGACCTTTGACCTACGTACTCCAAAACCTAATCAGATCGTATTTCTATGGTGATACAAATTGTTCATACCTCAAGTAGTTATTGAGATATCGTGATAACACGGCTTATACCTGTATTTGGTTTGATTTGCAATTATATTTAGAAGAAAAAAAACAGAAGGAATATTTAAACAATTAATGTTAGTATACCAAACATCAAAAATCTTTGTCTTGCAGATTTTCAAAGTTATCTTCATACCGATGTTTTCAAATGCATACACTCGTTTAGGAACTCATATTTAAGTGCAGCGTTTTTCAACTTTGCCATTTAACGTCTTTCGGATGATGATGTTAATAGTCGGTCCCCAGGCGTAAAAAATCATATCTGATTGATACAAGTTTGTAAAAACCCAATTACACACACACTTTGCCATTTTCCAGATTTTCCAACACTCCAGAATGTAGTAAAAAAAAGTTTGCAATTCTCTGAATTTTATCCTCGTAGTATGTACCTTTTGTCAGTGTTATACCTGTTTTTAATTTTTCTTTGTTTATCTCTGAATTTTCCACCATTTCATAGATATGTAAATTTGTTTTACTTTCTTTCTGCAGGTGAATGGTCCTAACTACAGGGACATAGACGAAAGGGATGGAAGCGGAAGTCTCTGATTGGACGATATCATCAAGATTCCTCCAACTTCTAAAAAAAAACAGTACTGTTCCGACCTGACGAAGTGACTTGATAATGGGCCTTTTCACATACGATGCAGGAAAACCTTGGCAGTTTACAGCAGCGACTTGTTTTGTACGAGTAAATGAATATCGAGTAGGGATGAGAAACTAGTTTGCTGTGCCCTGAGTACTCTCACTATCTCACTATCTCACTATCTGTGTTGTGAGGTACAGAAATGTGAGGTGTATTTATAGGCATGCGTCATTACAGCAACAAAAAGACTCTGGTTTACATCAAATGTGAACCAGCCAAAGTGTCTTTCTTCTTCTTCTTCTTCTTCTTCTTCTTCTTCTTCTTCTTCTTCTTCTTCTTCTTCTTCTTCTTCTTCTTCTTCTTCTCCTTCTCTTCTCTTGCTTCTCCTTCATTTTCTCCTCCTCCTTGTCCTTCACCATCTTCTTTTTCATCTTCTCCTTCCTTTCTTCTCCTTTTGCTTCGCCTTCTACTTCTTCTTTTGCTTCTTCTTCTTCTTCCTCACCTTCTTCTTCCTTTTCTTCTCCTTTTCAATCTCCTCCTTCTGCTTCTCCTCCTTCTTCTCCTTCTTCTATTTCTTCATCTTTTTCTTCTTCATCTTCTCTTTCTTTTTCTTCTCCTTCTCCTTCTCCCCCTTCTTTTTTCTTCATCTTCTCCATCTTCTTCTCCTCCTCCTTCTTCTTCATCTACTCCTACTCTTTCTTCTTCTTTTTTTTTCTTCTTCTCCTTCTTCGTCTTCTTGCTATGTGTACAGGCCACCGTCTGGTGTATTCTTTGTGCCAGTACATGGTCACATCTGTTACAAAGGAGTGCTCAAATAATTTTATAATTGAGGATTACTAGTTTGTTTTGAAATTGGTCACAAGATGCATTTACCAATGAAAAGATTGTTATGCAAGCCAATATTAACTTTGTAGTTTCCTATCTCTTATTTACACTCTGTAGTTGCATGTCAATCGCGAACAAATTGAGATCAATATCAACTGTCTTTAAGACAGGGCCCAGGACTGTACGCCCTAAATTGCCAATACTTGAGAGTTAAAAGGGCGTTACTGGTATTAAACTTGTATCACTTTACCATGCCAATGCCCTATAGCTCTAAGCACACAATTATCTTAAATCTACTTAAGTCTTCCAAAGATAAGTTTATATAAAGGTGATGGTAAGAGACTTCAAGTCTTGTAGATTCTATTTTTGTATGCAATAGTTAGAGTATGTGATGGATATATTAATATTGTGGTGGTATATATTCTTGATAAATATTAGATGATATAAGACAGCAGTGAAGAAAAAAATTGGATTCTGTAAACGCCGTTATTTTCACGTGATTCATTTTTTCGCGCTGAGCAACCCCAAAACAATTTGCGGGTTCTTAAATTTGCGTTGCACGCAATTCACCCCTTCAAAACACGCATAAGAATCATGCTTATATTTTTGCGAGTTCTAAAATTCGCGCTTGCCTATCTTAGCGCAAAATCCATGAATATTTCTGCGTTTACAGTAAGTGGTTAGTGATTTTGCTGCAAAAAGCTCCAAACTAGCTTTCTAATTAATGAAAGTGTTGTGAATCATTACAATGAAATGTTACTTGTTCTGTAAAATTTGTTTTCTTCTTTCCGTTGAAAACAGGCGGACTGTGTGAAGGAGCAGTATGTACAGTGTACAAAGAATAGCTTGGCATAAATACTTCAGGTGGTGTAGTAACGTTAAATAATCAATCATATTTTAGCATTTCAAAAGGCATTGTTTATATTTACGTTTTAAAGAGGCAAGCGATGGGCTGGTTTTTCTGTATTTGCAGTCTGTACTTCTTCTCTGAAATAGATTTGTACAGGAGTATTAACAGAGAGCGGAATGTCTACTTATTTCAAAGTATGGGTTGAAATGAAATGTTTTCAAAGTTACTATTAAAGAACATTTCAGGGTGAAATAAAGTGCATTGGAGGTGTAGATAAATACTTATCAAAGTCCAATACTTGCTACCATTATTTCAATAATGTACTGTAGTTGGTTTGTAGTTGATTTTTCTCTCTTCAATAACAATGTGCAATCATTTATGTGTATTAGTGTGTATCATGTCATAATGCAGCTAGATTGTTGACTAGCATATCATTTTCTCATTGAAACAATTCTTGTCTCCATCAAATGGCATGCTCATCCATCATTTGCACATTGGATCTGTTGTGTTCTGTTATACATATATTTTATGTTAACAATTGTGTACAGCCCGTTTCGCAAGAAGTGTGGAAGTTTAACTCATTTGTTTTGTTGTTGTTTTAAAGACTTGTTTTCTGATAACATGATAAAATCTATTTACTCTGCGGGACTCTTGTGTACAAAGTTAAACTCAAATCACAGCAAGCATTATCAGATGGCTGTCAGAGTGCTGTCCCCCGCAAACTTTGGCTAGCCTTCATCGCCATGGTTCGCAGGCATCCATCTCAAAAGGTCAATAAAATAAGGTTATGTAGACCAGGGCCCCAGTCTTATGAAGCCGTGCGATTGATCCAAATAAGTCGCTAGTCCTCCAATCAATCGCAAGTTTGCAGTCTCCTGTATCTTATGAACAAAGTTGCGATTAATATCAACTCTTTATAACACAACACAGGCCCCTGAAATGAAGGCTTAGTGGTACTGGAAGTATGATGGCTTAGTTGTAGAGCAGTGGTCTCGTGGGCTGAGGGTCTCGGGTTCAGTAATTAAGGCGTTGATCCTTGTTACCTTAACCCCCGGATAGGACTTAAAGCCGTTGATCCCCTAGTTGCTTTAAACTTACAATTATTTAGTGACCACCTGTCTACAAAGACCACATTTTTTGTTTCCCTTGAAAATGGTTTCTCATTGAAACGTGTACTAAAGGAACCTGTCTACAAAGACCACCTGTCTATAAAGACCACTTTTTTGTGTTTCCTTTAGGCGGTCGCTATAGACAGGTTTGACTGTACATGCTTTCTTAGCAGTCGCGTAATAAAACAAACCAACAATTTTCATCAACCCTACCAATCAGAATCTTTCTCCAATGACTTTTGTAACCTTTGACCTTGCCAATGCATAGTGTAAAAAGTAATAATACATCGGACATCCTAGTATATCTGCAGCTTTTGCAGGTGGTGTATCGTGTAGAAAGATTTATAGGAAGTTATGGGAAAATCATGATGTGACTGTTGTTGAATTAATAAATAAAATATTTAATTATCAGATTTATATTACATGTATATCATGATTTATTGAACTTTTGTATTATATCATGATTTAATTGAATCTTTGAAAACTATCTTTGTGCTACATGTTTCTGAGATTTATACAAATATCTTGTTATCTAATAAAAAAGAGATTAACTCATATTAAAACAGAGGTTCAACAAATGGATGAGTTCTTGACTTTATTGCATTTCAAAATCAGTGTTGACTATGTACATGTATGGTGTCTCGGTTAGATGGTTAAACCTAATTTTAGATGTTAAAGGAAAATAGAACCCTCATAGGCAACTACCCTAACAGAAAGCAGAAAAATCAAAGAAGCATATATACAGTAACTGAAGACATAAACTACTACCAACACCAACAACAAAAAAGCAGACTGGTGAAAGTTTGAATGAAAACAGACAAAACCTAAATATGACAGTTCTAATCACTATCTACAAGCACACCAAATTGGCTGAATTAGAAATGTTACTGTGATGTCGTGCCAGACAACCCTTGCCTTAGTTTCAACACACAAAGTGACTAGAATTGTAATTTTTTTAAATGTATGTATCATGAGGGTCTTATTTTTAGAGGACCTATATACTAATATACGATCCACAATAGATTTTGAATAGTGTCCCAAGGGAGAAGGGCACTTGAAAAACATGAATTATTAAAAACTTTGTACACAACAATTGAGAGAGTTTATCCACGACTACATGTAAGTCACAAATTCACTGACCAAATTGCCATTTTGAGATTTGTATAGATTTTAATGATCTCGTCTTTCAACATTCAGAACTCTCTTAATATTGGTCCAATTTATTTCAAACTTTCTCCATACTGTTTCTCTCATTTTTCTGCTTTCATAAAAAATGGAGTTATTACTAAGGTTGGATTGCCGTTGAGTGTAGATGCGAATCCCAGCAAAATCTTACTCGACATGATTATAATTTTTGGTGTTTTTTACCAGCATTTTGATTTACAGGTACACAATTTCATGTAAGAAAACACACAGTCTATCTACACTACCTACTTAAAATTTGAGGGATCCAGTCTTATTAAATTTCAATTGCTTACAAATGCAAGGCAGTTTAGAATTCAAGTGTGCTTACAGCAGGAAAGAATTTGTAAGCAATTGCGTTTTAATAAGACTAGATTCCTCTGCAAATTTCTAATAAACATTAACACTGGATTAAAGCTACATGAAAAGTTAAAAATACATTTACAAATACACTTCTAGACAAACACCAATTGAATATTGTATAAAAAAAGCAATCACACACAAAATGTTCTCCAATTCTAAAATGCAGTATTTCCCAATAAATAACCTAGCAAAAAAGAGCATAGAATGTATTGCATGGAATAAGCCAACTTTTTGTGACGTCAAGCTTTCTGAGCTTTGCGGTCACACTGGCAAAACTTTAATACAGGAATTGAATTTCAAGGATTTCAGTTCCTTGCAATTATTGTTTTGGACACTATTTTGTGCATTTTAGGAAGTTTGCAGTCAAATAGGGAAACCTATGGGAATCGAGGGGCTTCTCTATTTCCTACGAGTATGATCACACCTGATAAAGTCGACTGTAAATCCTAAAAGACATCAACTACTGGTAGAGATAAAATCTGTTCAGCCTGGTAATATATACATGAATACATAAGTAGATGACATTTTAGGATGATCATGCCAACTGGACGTTAAACCCTGTAAATATCCTAGGCGGAAAAACCCTGTAAACATCCTAGGCGGAAATACTCTGTATTACTTCAATAACTTTTTTGGAATGTTTAGGAGTAACTTGGAACACCAATAATAAGGTCATAATAATTGCATGGCTCTCAGGGAGAATTGTATTAATACTGGTAGGGCAACCATGGGTAAAAATTCTGTTACGAGCACATGTAGTCTTAGTACTATTACCTTTAACCATTTCTCTTTTGAAGACGGAAAAAATCAAAAGAATTCATCGGTGCAAGTTAATTTCACCCAACAAACCTGAAAAGAGGCCTAAACTTTCCGGAGCCCAAGACATCCGGTTATATATGGAGCCTAAAGAATGCTGGAATGGTGTTGGGTGTTGTGAACAGTGTCAGGCCTCACACTAGGCCAGAGCCTGCATACTGCCATCCTCTGATTAATTTAATGCTGAGTTTTGGGCAACGGAGGGGATGAGGACACTGTTCCCTCATGAAAAATAAGGATGTTTTGATGTAAGACATCCGTCCAATACAAGAGAGGCTGGTTTTATGGCACTGTCAATGCAGGCGGAAAACCGCCACTATTTAAATCTCTTGGCTGCTTTTTCGTAGTCCTCTTTGTTCAGACGGTATCCCCAGTGCTGAAGAGTCTGTCTCACGACGGGGGAGACCGCAAAGTTATCGTAGGCACAACCGCTTCTCGCACATTTTCCAATGAGGTTGTTGCGCCATCTTCCCTTTAGCCCAGTGCATTTCTTCCACCGACCGACCTGTCGCTCGTCATCAGCTGTTCTCCTTCCCAGATAGAACCTGTTGGTTTAAACATTGCAAATTAATGAAATGAAAATAATAATTACAATACGTTTCTTGTGTAATGCTGAAATTCATCACGATGTGACACTCATGCTGCTTCAACGTTATACCTCAGTTTTAGCCAAGCTGCCAAACTAACTAGCATTCAAGCATATCAGGTTCTTAGTTACATCGGAGTGGAGAGTGGCAAATTGAGATGTTATTCTTGCCAAAGGATTTTATTGCCGTCTAGGATTTGAACCCTGATCGAAGTAAAGAGAATAAACCATTCTACCATAGCATCTCAATATGGTTGGGTTTGTCAGCATTTCTGAAATAAATATATTTACTCATCAAAGTTTTCAAGCCCAAAGAAAGGCTATTTCTAGTGTAGTTCTGCATCCCGCTCTCAATGGTTGGTGATCCGAGGGAGAGAAGGTGGAGGAGGAGGAAAAGGAGGAGCAAAAGGAGAGAAGGAGAATATCGCATGATCCTGCACAAAGGATCCTGTTTGATAATCCAACCAGAAATCTCCCAAGGAAGAAGAAGAAGAAGAAGAAAAAGGAGGAATAGGAGAAGAAGGAAAAGAAGAAGGGGGAGAAGGAGAAGGAGAAGAAGAAGAAGAAGAAGAAGAAGAAGAAGAAGAAGAAGAAGAAGAAGAAGAAGAAGAAGAAGAAGAAGAAGAAAAGGAGGAATAGGAGAAGAAGGAAAAGAAGAAGGGGGAGAAGGAGAAGGAGAAGAAGAAGAAGAAGAAGAAGAAGAAGAAGAAGAAGAAGAAGAAGAAGAAGAAGAAGAAAAAGGAGGAATAGGAGAAGGAAAAGAAGAAGGGGGAGAAGGAGAAGGAGAAGAAGAAGAAGAAGAAGAAGAAGAAGAAGAAGAAGAAGGGGACAAAGAAGAACAAAGAAGAAGAAGAAGAAGAAGGGGACAAAGAATAAAAAGAAGAAGAGGAGGAGTACAAAGAGGAGAAGAAGAAGAAGAATGAAAATCAGACAAGGAAGAGGAGAAGGACAAAGAGGAGACGGAGAAGATTAGAAGATGATGAAGAAGAAGAAGAACCAGAAGAGAAAACCCAAGAAGATCTTTACCTGCAATACCACATGAACCAGCGATAAGGATCCTTTTTGTCAATCCAACCAAAGATCTCCCACAGAAGAATAAGGAAAAGAAGAAGAAGGAAAAGAAGAAGAAGAAGGAAAAGAAGAAGAAGAAGAGTACAAATAAGAAGAGGAAGAGGACAAAGAGGAGAAGAACCTAAAGAGGAAAAATAAGAAGAACTTTACCTGCAATACCACATGAACCAGCCATAAGGATCCTGTTTGTCAATCCAACCAGAGCTCTCCCACATCTCCAGGCTTCCGCCACACTTGACCTTGTATGTGTTGACCTCTGCCAGGTAAGGGCTGGACGCAACCTGTTACCATGGAGACAGAATTGCAAGTTCACTATTGGTTTACAGTCATTGGCTAGATGCTCTAATATGTTACAGTGACAAGTGCTCAAGGCTTTATTCATAAATATATAAGATAAGACAGAGCTTAACAGTAACTATTTTGGAAGGGGTTCAGACAGGGCTGTTTACAGTCTATATAGCCCTATGTAAAAACTTCAATATTATGGGGGGGGGGGGGGGGGGGGGGGGGGCGGTTGGACTTAGATTTCTGGATGCCCATGTGCCCCAGGCGCCTGTACATATAAGTGTCAAGCCCTGGATTAGGGCTAGAGTTGCAATAGAGTTTTAGGTTGTGCTAAGGGTTATGGTTATAGTAAGGGTCTAATATCCCTGAAATATTGTGACAAGTACAAAAATAAATAAATAAAGGAAACAAAGGATTTGTGATCAGAAACTTCACAGAGTAAATTAATTCCTGACAAGGCGCCTAAATGGCAACAATGTCTAGGCTGGTTCCAGCTCACAATCGCCCGTTTGAACAGAGTGAATTAATCCCTGATTGGTAGAGGTGTCGTGTTCTAGTGGATACGTCACCGGACTGTGGATCCCATGGTTCGCCGTTCAACTCCTGTCGCAGCGCCAATGTCTTTTGGCAAAACAGGTATCTACATTTGCCACTCTTCATCCTGGTGTACCAACGTTAATGTTGTTAGATTGGCATGTGTGTACTTGTAAAAGGACACCTGGCCAGAGTACTCCCCAGGGAGCGAAACTAGTGCACTAGCTATCATGTGTGGATTAGCAATTGAATCCAGTGATCGGGATAATAATATATACAATGTTAAGCGCTTACAAATGTAATATTAAACTCTATACAAATGTGACTATTTTTATTATTGTTATTGGCATGACTTTCTTACTCTACAGTTATTACAGGCTCGCACTCACCTGTCTGGGGATATCCAGACCTTCCAACCAGTTCTTTGGGAGCTCCTTCCATACACCAGAGTATTTCTCACCTATGCAAGACAAAGACAAATGAAGAATAGCCAAAACTTACGATATGATCATCATTATCTTTAAATATTTGGCATCGCCTGTGCCTGGTGGGGGAAGACTGAACTGTATTTACTGTAATGGGTCTCTCCTGAGAGTCCCCCCTTTCTTGTTTGTCTCACTCACAGATTAATTGTTTAAAGACAAGATGGTTATTCATGAATAATATTGGGATACAAGTGTGAGCAAACACCCGCACAGCTGAAAGAATCCCAATGTTTGAGAAATGAATTACGTATATAAGTAAATTAATAATTTATAAAATGAATTAAACTCCTTGTGGTTGTAAGCACAGTTGGAGCATTTTGGTATACTACTATTTAGATGCTAAATGTCAAATTTAAAGTAGTGGGGGGTGTTTCACAAAGATCCAAAGTCAAACTTAACTTTAACTTGGACTTAACTATTGTGGAGAGCCATTTGCAGCCTTAAAATAAAATATTCAAAAGCAAAATTTCATATTTTAGACCTTTCATAAATTCCACATCAAGAACATGAAATCTCCTTGATAATAGAAAAAATGAATGATTTGAATTAACATTTATGCCTTTTAAAATAAGTTTACAAAATATTTTCAAAGATGCTAATGGTTTTCCATAAAGTCCAACCTACATGTAAAGATGAGTTCAACTTAGGATCTTTGTGAAACACCCTGGTCGTTAGTCTCACCTGTGACGGATGACTTGATGGGTCTGAAGTAAGTCCCTCCAAAGCTGCCAGCCTGAAGGACCTCCTTGGGGCTCATGTTGGGTCTCATCTCGGGGTAATCAGAGAAGACCAGTTCCCCTTTGGCGTTCCTCTTGGGGAGGGGCTCTGTGTATCCCTGCTCCGCCCGGATGGCCTCCTCCTGGGAAGTGGCGTCTCCTTTAGCCCCGCTTCCTTTCACCTTCACTGTGTGGAAGAATCAGTCATGAAAATTGCACATGAATGTAGGTAAGCATAGCTATGTTCATAATGTTATTTTTTATTTCTTTAAAAAAATGACAAGCAAAAAAACTAACGGTAATGCATATTCAACAGAAGACCATTCTAACTATTGAAATGATTCTCAGAATGAAAGGTCAGTTTGTCCTTCATGGTAGAAACAGTTGACATATAAACAGATTGACATGGCAGAAATGCACTTACACTGGTATTGTAGAGTTATTAAAACATATGTCATTTACATATTAGACTGAAATTTATTTCCACTGGTCTGGAATACAATCCTGCTTATGTTATTGGGATTTGGAAATTGTAAAGTACAATAATGCATTGACTGATCATTTTGGTAAAGACAGGAGACAAATTCTCACAAAATCATACAAGAAACTTAGGATAAATGTTCACAATGTTCTGTCCCTCGGATAGAACATTAATTGATGGCCCTGTGGAGAGGAGAGTCATTACATTTGCCCGTTAAGAACCCACTGCACTATTTGTTCAAGAGTAGGGGGAAACCCTGGTGTAGTGGTCCACCTGCACACCCCCAATCAGTTATAATGGGAGGAGAGACCCGAGGGTTACAGTGATTCTGTTTGCTTTTTGCCTCCCAGGCACATGTGATGCCAAATACTTACTACTACAGTACTACTACCAATAATAATATTAACATGTGACACATGGACCAGCTCCCACGAGAATTTGGCAGACACTGTATAATAACTTAGATCAGTGTGTTAAAAAAGACAAGAAAATCAATTAAGTGTACCAATCACCGAAAATTAATCTATTTTAAATGCTTGTAGTATTTGTTGACTACAAGTTTGTTATGTGCAGGCCTGTACACCCAATAATGGTATTTCCAATTTTCCACCAAGTCTGGTGTCAGCGAAGTATGACCTTCTGCACATGGAAACTGCTAACCCATCAACTTTACAGGGATTGGGTAACTTTGTCTCAGATTCTATAACAAAATTCTGGACTAAGCTCATGCTGCAATGATAATTATAAACCTCAAGGTCAGTCAGGAACCCACTGACTTTTACAAGCCAATCGCCTGTCTGATTATCAAGATATTTATGATTGGAAATCGTAATTGAAAAATTTGTTTTTCCTAACGGTTTCTATAACACCACAGTCTATTTGGGATGATGAATATTGTGTAACCGGTCACTCAAAGATTTTTAATTTTTTGAGGCACTTCATGATCATTTTGAATCACAATTTTTTTAGGGCTTCAATATTACACCACATCACAGACCATATGACGTAGGGCCCTGCATCTCAGATTTAACATTGTTATTTGTTAAACGATGCCTTTAAGTCCTAACACTGCAAAACCTTGTACGTGTACATGTAGCCCTCTTATGTACCTTTAGCTTCGGCCTGGACTTTCTTGGTTGAACTCTTGCCAGCAGGTATCTCTGATTGTTTCTTCTTGACGACCTTCCCTGCTTTGGTGACTTTAGTCTTGGTATCCTTGGACGCCTTACTTGCACCAGGAGCAATGGCCCTCGCAGCTGATTTTGCCATGGTGAAGAAGAAGAGGGATGACACTGGAACCCTGTGTTTGAACATTACAAAATGAAGATAATTTATGTATTCATGGTCCACAAAAAAAAGAGGGAAGAAAGCTAACTTTGACATTTGCAGATCTTGTAAAGAGGATCTTCTCTCCAACATTCTGTAGTAAACAAATGGCCCCCAAGTACAACAGTATTTTAACTACTGATGGGGCTAGCCTGCTGAAATAAAACGAAATAAATAAATAATAAATGAATAAAAACGTGGAACAAACATGTGATGCACTTGAAAGTTAAATTAAAAGAAAGCCGATTTATATTTGTTAACTTTCATAGATAAAGTTGAAGTTGGGAATGTTTGATAACATTAGGAACTTAGGAAGGTTTTGAGATTTCCTACAACATTTGTTTAATTGTAACATGAAGACACGCCATAGAAAGAGGAAACCTCACATACCCAAAGAATAAGTGTAGGCATTCTGAAAAAATGAAAAATGAGATATATAAATGAAGATATTCTTGGCATGATGTGATGGTTTATGACGTGGCGCAACCATTTTCTTGAAAATGTGACGTACCAGTTGAAGTTGTACATGTGTACCATGGTAACCATGCACCAAGCAATAACAAACCTTTACTTTAATTTCATTGAGGAAAAAATCATAGCTGAGAAGATGGACATTATATTTGGTGAAAAATAGTTAACAAGGGAACAAACGTAACTTATTCATTTAAAAATACTACAATATAGCAGTTGACAAATCTATTTGATTTCATTTATGAGAAACCCTCACCCCAGAAGCTACACCAAATTATTTATGCAATTTCAATATCATGTGAATGAAATTCTTCATCACCACACACACCTGGGAAGGAAGCATCCATAAATCGTAATACATATACTTGATAAACGACTTCACATAGTATTAGACTATTACTAGATCTAGTATTAATTAGTACGTCACCTCGGTCACGCTAGAAAATGGTGATACTCATGTCGTGATGAGAAAATCATTTTTGCTTTCCCTCGGCCTCAGTGGGGAATCTTGCAAATTAATGGATACGAATATGTAATACAACTCTCAGAAAAACTTCAATAAGTAAAGTTATTTCTTGGGGAGAACTATATAAAGAGGTTCGGGGCGTTTTGCAGGAAAAAAAGCACCAGGACTCGAGCTCGGGAGCAATCATGTTCGCGTTTTGGTGAAACCTCGAAACTAGTGTCGTGAAAACCCTGAATACATTGTACAAATTAAGTTCACAAACCTTATTATTTTGGGTTCATCTACTTCTTCCAACAATTCTTACAAGCGTTGATCTACGGGATTTCGATGATCAAACGTCCTGCCAAATGATGCTTAGATTTAACAACAGAACTAGGAAGAACTCTCATGTCTTCTGAAGCTCAAATGACGCTTGTTATGCAATTCCGAGATTTCGCTGGTTTACAAAATGCCTGTACCGTTGTGTGCTTTTTGCGGTAGCAGCGGAAACTGTAGGTACTTCCCCTTCTGTAGACTCTACCCCAGGTACTGGCTATTTTCATTTGATAATGGGAAACCACGAAAACGGACAAAATATATAATAATAATGATAATAAAATGGTGCTTATAAAGTGCTTTCCACTAAAGTCTCTAAGCGCTACACAAACAAAATACAATGAAAAAAAATTATACATTATAAACAAAAAATTACAAATAAACCCACACTGAATTACATATGAAAATGTGAAATATTTGTGAACAGAGTGATTTAATCATCAAAAGTATTTTTTAATTGGTTGTCAGTCTGACAGTTTTTAGACATATGGATATCATTAACCCCCTCCTCCCCAATTATTCTCGGCATGAAAATCATGTATACCTATAATCTACAGACTTACCATTCGCAGGCGCGGGGGGGGGGGGGGGGGGGGGGGGGGGGGGGGGGGGGGGGGGGTTGAACCCTCCCCTTTGGTATTTTCAATGTGTGCATTTTAGACGAAACCCTCACCCCTTTGTTTTGTTTTAATTTTATATAAAACAAAAACAAACAAAAAATTAAAAAAAATATGCAAATGGGTGAACTTAAAAAGGTGACCTTATCCTCCCCCCCCCCCCCCCCCCAACGGACCGAAAGGTCGATCCGGCAATTTTCAAATTTTGGAACCAAAAAAAAAAAAAAAAATGTCCTCTTACCCCCCCCCCCCCCCCCCCCGGCATTCTCGGCATGAAAATCATGTATACCTATAATCTACAGACTTACCATTCGCAGGCGCGTACGCGGGGGGGGGGGGGGGTTGAACCCTCCCCTTTGGTATTTTCAATGTGTGCATTTTAGACGAAACCCTCACCCCTTTGTTTTGTTTTAATTTTATATAAAACAAAAACAAACAAAAAATTAAAAAAAATATGCAAATGGGTGAACTTAAAAAGGTGACCTTATCCTCCCCCCCCCCCCCCAACGGACCGAAAGGTCGATCCGGCAATTTTCAAATTTTGGAACCAAAAAAAAAAAAAAAAATGTCCTCTTACCCCCCCCCCCCCCCCCCCCCCCGGCATTCTCGGCATGAAAATCATGTATACCTATAATCTACAGACTTACCATTCGCAGGCGCGTACGCGGGGGGGGGGGGGGGGGGGGGGGGGGGGGGGTTGAACCCTCCCCTTTGGTATTTTCAATGTGTGCATTTTAGACGAAACCCTCACCCCTTTGTTTTGTTTTAATTTTATATAAAACAAAAACAAACAAAAAATTAAAAAAAATATGCAAATGGGTGAACTTAAAAAGGTGACCTTATCCTCCCCCCCCCCCCCCCCCAACGGACCGAAAGGTCGATCCGGCAATTTTCAAATTTTGGAACCAAAAAAAAAAAAAAAATGTCCTCCCCCCCCCCCCCCCCCCCCCCCCCCCCCCCCCCCCCCCCCCCCCCCCCCCCCCCGGACTGTACAGACTACCTCCAACTTTTTGTCTCACCAACCCCTTTCACTTAATTGTTTATTTCTGAACTCTAAATATGATATCCATTTTCCTTCGCTTGCTTTTATGTCAACCTCAACTAGCAATATCATTTTGTGGGTCTTGTTTCCCTGTTTAATACTTTTTTTCTTATCTAATTACCATTCTTTCGCTCAAAATCTATCACTATCACTAACATAATGGCGCATAAAATGTTAACGCAACGTAGCCGTAGCATGAAAGGCGAGTTTGCATGATAGAGATGGGAGAGGGGAAAGGGGGGGGGGGGGTCTAGGAACAAAGGGGAAGCGTCGACCCGACAGTTGTTCGCGACATCCATTCAATAAACTACTGTAATTATGCTGCATTATTGTAGAGCGCTTAGAGACTTCTGACAAAGTAAGTGTTAGGCGCTATATATGCACTGTAATTATTATTATTACTGTTTAATGCGTGAAGTTGGGCAAAGGCAACATTGAATGTCCGAGACACCATTAATAATTGCTACCTCTATTATCAAGTACACTATATTTAAAACGCTCTAATGTATCGGCTTTGGGTAAACGATGGGGGTGACTTAAGTGAAAAGAGCATTTCAGTCGTCGGCTTTCCAACTATTTAATACAAGCCGTTATAACGCTATATACTAAGCTGAATATCAAGGACGAACATATTGGCCCGAATTCACAAAGGGGGTTTGTCGACAAACCTTGGTTTTCGTACGTCATATGACGCGTTTTTACGCGTTTTTGTAAAAATGCGTCAAAACGCGTCATATGACGCACGAAAACCAAGGTTTGTCGATAAACCTCCTTTGCTCATCATTGCTCTCCTGTCAAATGGTTGACAGTGAACATTTTACACAAAATAATAATACGATGCGTTTACTTCACTGAAACTCGATAAACGTGTTTAATCACAATGTCAATGAAACGTAGATATTATTATGGTCATAATCGAGAATGTGCCTAGATCGTTCTATCTATAGTTAATCAGTAGCAGTTCCAGATACAGGCCTGCACATGTTGCAATTATTTTATGTGCTCGTATTTGCGCAATATGCGCCGGGCTTCAAGTTTTCAATGATTGTTTTCAAGAAAATGTTGTTCTGTTGCGCATGAATTATACTCCACCTGGCGATCCACTCACATTCGGATACCAACATTTAATTACGTTCTTTATCAAACCATAATTACATAAAGTGATCCAAAGTTTTCAGTTTATAAGAAAAAAATGCCATTCTTTATCAAGAAAAGAATCAAGCTAAGAAAAGAACTACAAAAGATAAAATCTCATAACGTTTGAGAGGTTCATTTTGCCCTTGCGTTGTAGTACCGAAGCTGTGACGTCATACATATCTATTTTTTAGAATTTCTCAATTTTTTTCTTCATTTTTAGAAAGATCATCAAAAATAATGTCCAATTTACGAAAAACCAATTGAATATGTTAAGTAATGGCTGAGATATGACCATCTGAATGAAAATATTTCCCATAATTATGAACTCAATGTTATATGCTCTGGCTCCTAACCAGGAGCCAGAGCAAATACTCAAGAATTACATAAAAAAATCATTTGCCAAACAATTTTGGTAGGAAATATATACTGATTGAGTAATGAGCATAGAAAGATACGGAAATCAAGGTTAGTAGCCCCGACACCATTTGTGTAGTATGTGCATTTTTATGTGTACAGCGCTTGTTACTTTACCAAGACTGGGCCGAATTTCTTATGATTTTGATGACTCCAGAACATTGCAGTACACACCAATAATTACATGCTACATGATCAACTTTTTCTGATCCATTCCACACCTTTTCTTTCACAATGCAATCACATGACTAGAACTCAACTTTATCTTTAAGAAGTTGTTTCTATGCTGTGAGTTTGATCAATGTAAAATTCACATCGCCGGAACATTATTTTGAAAGTATTTAAACATAATTTAAAGCACCTTTATTACTGTAAACAAAAAACTACAGAAATATTTTGGTTCACAGTGTTTTAAAATCATTTCAAAATGACAGTAATTTCATTGGCTGCATGTATCTCTTTCAAAAAGTGTTTGAACTAACTATAACAATGCCATTTCCATTCAAATTGTATTTAAAATGTCTTGATTTGCAACTGTCCCGTATTACCTACACATGTAGGTAATGAGAGACCTTTGGTGATGACGTCGTTAATCATCTTATTAATCAGTTACATCATGACCACAAATTTGTTACCAAATAAAGAGAAGAAGTTACTGAAGAGAATACAAAACTTTCTGTATGTGTAACATTTTTTATGTGTATGTAAATTATGCAAATGTACTTAAGGGTCTCCAATTAAGGGTCTACACCTACCCTATTGATAGCATTCTTTGCGGTCTACCTACGCACTCTGTAGTTTGAATGAGCACACTTGCAAATTTAAGTCCATTTGCCCGTCCGCTAAATGAGATAGACAGCTGGTTTTAGCCCAATTAACAAATTCACGTGAAAATCACGTCCATATCAAGGTATCGACCTAAAAAGATTGACGTTATTCAAAAAGTGTAATTGCGTGCGTGGGTGTGTGTATGTGTGTGCGTGTTTTCAGGGGATCCAATAATCCTTCAAAGTTGAAAATGTTGTCAGTTTTTGCATTTCTCTGATGTACAACCATAAGTGTTCCTTCTGACACTGGTAAATAGGCTTTAGAAAGTATGTGGTGGGGGGAGGTTGTCACGGCGCGAGGGACCGCATTTTTCTTTTCTAATTGCCAACAGCGCATGCGTGTAAAACCGACACCCATAATTCCGATATAAAGTCTTCATTGCAACTCAAATCTCCCTTTCAGAGGTATAGCTCACCATCGATGATCAGAATTGATTCTCCTCCAGGCTTACAACTATATAGATGAGAAATAACATTCAATTTATCGTTCACCAATCTTGTACTATTCCAAATAACTTCGAGAGTCGCATACATAATTTTGTGAAGAATCATCGATCAGCTCGAAAAAGTGATGAAGTATGCATCGCCGCTGAATTCAAAGTCTTTCATCGTAGCTTTTATCGAACAAACCGGGTAAATCTGGAAGAGAAACATCGAACGAAGAATCTTTCTCTCGTCGCTGAGAGGAGGGAAAGGAGTAATCATGCCTTTTTTCCCTTCAGTAAGATTTCTGGTTGCCATAAGCTGTTTCTTATGTGTTTTATTCCGAAGAGAAACGCTTGCAGGTAAGTCCAAGATGTTTTACGATTTTTCTCGATCGCATGGTTGTAACTAGATAAAGATAATTGTTCAAACGGAGGTGATGAGTTATTCCGTAGAAACTTATAATATTAATAGTAATATCACATTTATAAAGCACCTGATCATTAGATACAAAGCGCATATAAACAAGAATTACTAAAATAAAATATTTTTAAAAAATAGGGAGAACATTATCATACGAAACTTATATTAATTAAAAACAAGGAGGAATATTTCACCAAATAAGGGACAAAAACGTATTTGTTTTGAGACATATCTTGAAAGCTGTGAGAATAT